CTCGGCAGCTGTTTACATAATTTGCAACCGCAGGACATATGCCTTACTGAAGAGTGAGACATGGATTTCTTGTGACATGTTTCTCGAGTTGGGTATCACCACCACAGAAGGACCCTTGGTCAAGGGGTGATGATTCCATCAAAATCGGAGTTGTATCCTGCCCTAGCTCATCCTCTGTCACGGACTGAAACTGAAGGTTCTGGCAGACAAGGAAACCACATGTCAACCCTGCACATGATATTCTAACAAGGCATTATTGTAGTCCAGGAAAAGGACGTGCTGTGTCATCATTACTTGAGGAGGATCGAACAAAGGCATTTGGTGTCAAATCTCTGTTGTCTGGAAAGCAGACAACCTAATGCAACTAATCTCATTTTTAAAACATTGCCCTCAGATGGGAGAAGAGCGAAAGACATTCCCACAGATGCCAAAGACTGGAGGCACGAGATTTATAGCTGATGTAGAAGATGAGGGAACTAGCCATGTGGATATCTGCAGGCAATACTCGCCACCACAGGGACACCAGGATCAGAGGCCTAAGGCTGGAATGTTCACGGAACGGAGAAGGTCCGTGTGCTAGGGCAGAATGGAGTGAGGGAGCGGGGAGGGTGGCAGATGACATCAGAGAGGAGCCAAGATAGGACAACAGGAGATCTTGTGGGTCACTCTGGAGACTTGCCTTCTGCTCCTGTGAAGCTGGAAGACCACTGGAGGCTGCTGTGTAGACAATTAACTGATGCATATATGCATCTAAATATGTTCGAAACGCCCATCGCATGCAAATGCACTTTTTCAACTTTCAATTTTATGAAATCTAAATATAGATCAAGTACTTCCAATGAAAATGTAGTGCCTGCTTGGAAATGGGCTTTAAGTGTAAAATGTACATTAGATTTTAAAGACTTAACAAGAGAAAAACTATGTAAAATATCTCCTAAGCAATTTGTATGCTTATTTGCATGTTGAAATGATGATATTCTGCATCCACTATGTTAAACCATATTAAATTAATTCAATCAGTTTCTTTTACTTTCTCAAGTGATACTAGAAAATTTGTAATGGCGTATGTGTGGCTTACAGTATATTTCTGTTGGATGGTGTTGATCTAAAACAATTGTAAAGTTTTAATATGCATAAAAATAACCCAAGCAGCTTCTTACAATGCAATTTTCTGAATCTACTGCAAGAGAGTCCACAGTAAGTCTAGGACTGGGCCCACAGACCTGCAGTTTAAGGGAGCACTGCTAGGTGATGGTGAAGGGCCTGAGGACCCCCGCTTTAGAAGTAGGTCCTGCTGTGCTGCTTCTGCTAATTGAAGCAAAAGACCCAAAGCCCCATCAAGGAATCACAGCGGCAGTGACCATAGCTTTGCTATATGCCACCAACCACCTGCTATGCCATCTTTTAGGCTGGATCCCCAAGACTGTCCTTGCCTGGACTGTTAACTGTCAGCTGTTGCCATGATCTTCTGATACCAGTTTCCACCTACCAGAGACTGAGCTTCTCAGATCCGGCCATTGGAATTGTTACCCATCAACCCTACCCACCATTGCTCCCTGCTTCTCATTGGACCCAATACCCTGTCTACTCTCTGAACAGGTTAGTTCCCACAGCAGGACTCTCTAAGCCCAGCATGTTCTATCACATTAAGATGTCCAGGTCCTTGAAGATAAATCACAAATAATTATAGAACCATCAGGCCTAGCCTTTATACACAAATGTACTAATTCTAAACAGCTTTCGCTCATGTATCAAACTTCTTAATTTTATGACAACTATTAATGGTTAAAATTAATTCAGTAAGGAAAAATTCCAATTCTCACTAGCCATTTGTCTTAATCACAATTTGACTTATTCAAAAGTCAGTAGGAAAGTCAACAGAAAATGTAATATCAGTTCTTTTTATTCAATTTCATTTATATTACCTATTTTATTTTCATTACTTAATTTTTTAGTTATGGAAGTCTTTTGTGTAATTGTAGAATTTTTTAGAATTCAGATAACTTACAGAGGTAAATCAAAATCCCAAATCTTACCACACAGAGACAGAAACTGTTTTCCTTTTGGTGTGTTTCTTTCCAACCCTTTTTACATGGTTTTGATTTTCCTCTCTACACAGCTGGCTATATTACTTTTTCACTCAATGTTTTCAGGTTTCAAATACTATTCTTTTTTATGCCTATTTGGGATTTTGTTCATTCATTTTCCTCTTTTGAACATTTAGATTATTTCCAATGTTTTGCTATTAAAATTATATGCAATGAGCATCCTTTTAGAAAAATCTCTGAATATAAATACTTTCTTAGGTAGAGACTAGCAGGTAGAATTTAAAGGTCTACAGTTATGAACTTTTTAAGTATCCTTGATATTTATTGTTCAGTTGCTTATGGAGAAGACTTGTTAATTATTAATATTCTTTGCATTAATTTTATTCATTTTTCAAAATCTTTGTAACTTGTTGGGACCTTCCAAAAAAATAATTTCATTGTTTTCATTTGCAAAATTACTAATGAAGTTGGGGTTTTCTTACATTTTTTGCCATTTGTATTCCTTCTTGCAATTGCCTGTAATTTTGTCCTTCTACAAATTGACCAATATTTGCTTTATTTTATTATAACAGTTTCATACTACATTGAAAAATTTAATAAGACAAAGACCCAACTCTTCATCTTCACACACTTCAAAACTATTGTCTCCAGAGGATCTTTAGAATAATTTCATTGATTTCTTTTTTTAAAAATTCCCATAGAGATTTTGGTTGGGCTTTGACTAAACCTGTAAACTACAAATTCAATTAAAACTTCTTTAAAATACATTGTCCTCTCACCAGGATAATAGTCTCCTACATTTTCTGTCACAGTAAAATGCTAGATTTTCTTCATTATAAATATTACAAACTTTTTTAAAGATAATTTCTGAGTTTTTTTAAATGTGGGGGCCTATTATCAGTATAATACTTTTCAGTTACCTTTTTCTATATACTGTTATTAATAGTTATTAATAGTGCTTTACAGAACTACTGATTTTTAAATGCTTATTTTATAACATAAAGGTGGATTTCAAAGTAAAATTTTTTATTCGTTTTCTTGAGTTTCTAGATATACAGTGTCTGTATTTAAATAATGAGATATATATATATATATAAATAATAGAAACTATCTTGTCGTTTCAAACAGTTACACAAGTTATTTTTATTTCTAGCTTTGTTTCACTGAATACACTTTCAAAAATGATTTTTACTGCCTACTTTAGTGGAGTGCTTTCCCACAAAACTCTTTACAGAAACTGCAGCAGTGTGCTCTAGTCAGATGCGTTCAGAAGGCCTTTAAGACATGGCCATTCCTAGTTCCAGAGACCTACAGACAAACGGAAACACGTTCCAAAGAAAGTGCCCACGATGGGCTTAAGGCACTTAAAGCCACATTAGATGATGAACAATTGAAGGACGTGTGTTAGGGGGTGCTCATTCTGGAGGGTAATCACTCTTTAGAACATGAAGGAACAGGAGTCTTCATTAAAGCAACGATTAGACATGTTACGTAACCTCTCTAAAGAGAAGAACTAGAAACAAGCTGCATGGAGACCAGTTTTTGGTCAACGTAAATAGTTTAAACTAAAAAGTAAGTAGCACACATATCTAGGTAGGTAGGTAGCATACATCCTACAGGGCAAACCCTCAAATATAGGGCTAATGATCTGTTACAGAGATGTTTTGGAACGGATTTGAATTTCTGACAGGTGGTTAGACTGGACGACCTTTAAGATCCATCTTACTCTATCTTCCATATTTCTACAACCCACATCTAAAGCTTCTAGAATGCCTGGCAAAGAAGTGTTTACTGCAATTCATTTAGATACGAACAGAAGTAGTATATCAAAACAGCCTCATTATTTTTTTAGATGGACTTTTTAGTAAGTAAATCCAATTAAATAGATACAATAAATTTTATGAATAAAAAGGGAATAATAGTTTCTCCAATCACTCCTTCCATATACAGCCTTGGATCAATCAATCAACATTTATTGGGATAGGCAAACAATATCATATACATAGAAAAACAGAAGGAAATGAATGTGTAGGAAAACTACCACTATGAAAAATTTTCTAATCATTTTTGCCCTGTTGCATAAGAGCATTTATGTTTAAACAGTAATTGAATTTCAAAACAGATACTGATATCAGAGGATATGCTATTTAAGATTATGACCTTTCATTCCCAACAAAGAAACCTCTTCAGGAAATAGGTAATGAAAGCTGTTAAGTGCTGCATGCCCCTCTCATTCAAGTTTAATGCCCAACCTGTATCTTTTTACAATCCCAAAATATCCCTGGGCAGCCTTGGCCCAAGCAAACGTTCTAAAACCAAGTAACAGCAAAAATGCTTACAAGGTATAAACCCAATGAGAAGTGATTATATGGTTCTTGACCTTGAGGGATGTAAGTATAATTATCAACATCTTATTTAAACAATATCACTGCAACTCATATGACTTCCTCCCCAAGATTACTATTACCCTTAATCAACAAATGTCAAAATTAATAATTGACCCAAAAAGTGCAGAATTGTGACATATTTTACAGAGACAAAACATAATTTTAGGCACCAGTTTTGATGTACTTGAGACAGTCGGTGATTCTATGAAACATTTGATCCCAGAAGTAGCAACAGAGAAAAAACTGAGGGGCTAATGGGTTGGTGAGTCCGTGATAGAAACAAGGAACTCGGTTCATCCCTGGTAATTTTTGAAGTGTCCTCTTCTCTTCAGATACAAAGCAATATTCCAGAACTGTGGATTGACATGAAATGAAAGATAACAAAGAAAAGCTCTGTTCTGAAAAACAAAACCCAGAATGAATAAGTCATGGGGATTCTTTACTTCCCTTGACAGCCTAATTCTCCAGGTGCTGAGAGATGGCACAGAGAAGAGTGACAGGTATTGTTCAGGAAGGATTATGGGCGGGATCACCCAGTTCTGCTGAGTAGACTGTGCATCTGGTTCGTGAGCAAACGTGGACCTGTCTCCCTGGAGAGCAAACCAGGGCCACCTGAGAAGAGGCTATGGAAGCTAACACCCAGCTCTTGAGGGTCATCCAGGAAATGCGGGCAGAGATGGACAAGTTGGAGAAAGAGAATCAGGCCCTCCGGATGAAGCTGTCCTCAAGTAGTCAGAGAACCCTGGGCTCAGGGGCAGAATCAGGAGACGAAAGGGAAGAGAAAGTCACGGACCTTGGCAACCTCAGAAAAGCACCTGGACAACCTCCAGCAACCCTTCACGGCGGTGCTTCCACTGATCCAGCCCCTGTGCAGGGACACCAAGGTACCGAATACCCGGAGCGTTCCTGGGCGGGGCACATCTTTGCAAGTATCTCCTACTGATAGGTTTATTTCGCTCTTTCATAACCGCAGTGTTTTTGGTATTAACAGTGGTGAGTTCCATCCTTTTTTTTTTTTTAAGGTAGACTATCCTTGAATCCCAAGGCAAAAATTTCCTAGCTTCTTCAAGCAACATATTTTAGCAACATTAAAGCTATTACCAGATATTCCTGGAAAAATAAACATGGTAGGTTTGTAGGAATCAGTCACATTAAAAACAATGTGTTTTTTTCCTTTTTGACTTCAAGCACTTAAATGCTACGTAACTGAACACTGACTGGGCATGGGTCAAATGGCAGGCTCACTTATTAAGCTAGAATGATGTTGCACGATAGCTCAGTATATGACTAGCAAAGTCAGACGAATATGGTTGCCAATGATTTGTCACTCATTAGCCACCTGACTCAGAGCTAGTTATTAGAAATCTTTACTCTTTGTTTCCTTCATTCAGAAGTGTTAAAATACCTATCTCACATGGTTGTGACTTAAGTGCTGAATATAACACCTGACAAATACCCAAGACATGGCAGATACCATTTCTTGTCCATGTTTTGCAAAGAACCTTACTGTCCCACATGAAATATATGTTGCACATAATTCGAACTCCTATATACATTAAAGACTTCAAGATGCATGGTCAATGTCTGATACAGTCTAAAAATCAAATCTCTCGTGTTTATGGGAATTTTGACTGTGAATACTATACATAAAGTCAGAAATCAGCAGGGTGAAAAGTGCATTCTATATTTGTCCATGCTTGCCTACACACTGCATATTCAAATGAAATTGATATACATAATTAAGTGCTCAAAGCTCTTAATATCATCTGTCAAAGGCTTCAGGCAATGCTGTTTAGAGGTTCTGAACAGCTTGGCAATGGAACATGTCAGATTTACCAGCTGGTTTTCTCTGTGACAGAGGTTTTTCTCTCTCTAATATGGGACCCTATATTTCAAAGTGGGGAACAGATCCCAGAGTCTTTTCCTGTTTCTTAAGCACAGTTCTGGATCTGTATGGTCCTGTCTGCTAGTTATTTAATAAAACTGAACAATAAAACCTATAAGGAGGTTAAGCCCTGCTCCTAGTGAAAAAAAGATATGGACATCCGTAATATATCCTCATTCTGGGGGTTACTCGACCTCTGCACTCTTGGCATTTTGAACTAGTTCTGTAACTGCAGTGCATTGAGAAGCTTTCCTGGTTTCTAAACACTAGATGTCAGTAGCACCTGGTTCTCCCCCTCCAGTCATGACCATCAAAAATGTCTTCAGACTTTCCAAATGTCACCTAGAGGACGGACTTTCCCCCAGTTGAAAAAAATTGCCTTATTCCAAAGGCAGCACTCCTTGAAATTTATTTTCTATGATGCTGATCCTAATGAAAAAGTAAGCTGGGTTTTAGCATATCTTATGCTACTATTCTAAAATAAATATTACACTGTTCAAAGAACAAAGAATATTACCCTTTAAAATCTCAGAACCTGAATGCCATCAAGCTGAGAGGAGGTTAGAATAAGAATCAAGCACACAATTGATCACACACTTCTTCAGCACATGGATGGTAACTTCCAATAAGAATATTAGCATTGAGTATGAAAAAACTGTTGATGAAATTCTGGGAATTCTTGCCAGTTGCACCAATAAAGTGTAAAAAGAAATATGATTTAAATGTGTGCGTGGAAGCCCAGTGGAGTTACTTTAAATGATATTTATCTGTATCTTGTATGTGATGTGTTATTAGGAAAGCAAGTGTCATTAGTGGAAAGAACACTGACCAGAGTATGAAGACACCTGGGTTTGTAGTCCCAGTTTTGTAATAGTTGTTCAATGCCAGGTAAAATTTTGATCTTAGCATCCTCATGTAAAAATGAATGGGTTGGATTAGAAGCCTTCCGAGGCCTATTCCAACTGTAAAATTCTGTGCTTCTGTGAATGTAATATGCTTTTATAATCACTCTCCTCATCTGTAAAATGAAGATGGTGATAGAATCTATCTCATTGGACTGTTGAAAGGATTAAATGACGTACACAAGACTCAACATGAGCTGATTAGTAGTAGTTGTCTTGATACCACTGGCTATGTCAGAAAAATATCACTTGCCTTGAGTAGAAGCTTTTTATCAGCAGTTTTAATAAGATCTTGACAATATCAATTAAAATTCAAATTTGCCACCGAATCATGGACATTTGCAACTAGAGAGGAACTATAGAGATATTCTCTTATTTTATGGTTGAGGATATAAGACTCAGGGAGATTGTTTTCAATCTTTTCTTGAAAACAGAATAATAGAAACATATTCTTTGAGAAGGAACCGTGTGAACTAGGAAGTATAAGTCTCATTTTAAGAAAGGGAACAATTAAAGAGGACCTGGGAGCAAATAAGTTGAAACTAAAAGTCCTCAATTGGTTCTATGGTATGTGCAGTGACACAAAATAAGATTTCATGAGTGGAGAAGCCTGCTTCCCCATCACTAACCTGAGGGCATTGCATCACCAGTTACATCATAGCTCAGGGACTCAGCTCCTTGGTGATATATATACATTTTAAATATAAAATATATAGATAGACATTACAATGAGAATACAGAACAACTACTCAGAATGAATCTTTGTTGGATAAATTATTTGTGGAAACACCTGCAATCGTGTATAAGCATTTGGTAGATGGAAATCCAACCAGCATTTCAGGGCTGTTGCCTTCCCCCTCCCCCCCTGTGCAATCTCACTGCAGTAGTATTCAACAAGGGGGGATTTGGTGCACAGGAGACCAAAGAAACCACTCCTTACTGGGAGCCCCCAGCACCGTTGGTCCCCTGACTCTCTTCCATCTGCTCATCTCCTTTGCTGGCAAATAAACTGCACTCAGCAGTGATCTTTGAAGTTGTGCTAATGCCCCTGATATGCAGTGTTGAATATCTTTTCCCTTTATTGAATGGACACAGATCATTTGTGACCTGAGAAATGAACAAGGAGCCTATTTGCTAATCAGTCAAACTGAAGTGTCAGTCCCAAATAAGAATAAAATTAATTTTGCTATCAAAAGCATGATTTCCTCTGTTATGCCTTCCTACCATTCAGGATAGAGTGTTTTATAATCCTTTTAAGCAGAATCATTTATGCTGGTCAACAGTCATAAACCTGTTTTTAGGCAATTCATAGAAGTTATATATCATTACCAAAGGAAGTGTTAAAAGAAAATCTATGAACATCATTTGCAATTAGATTTGAACTTAAACTCTGCCTGACTCCTGCCTAAAATTTCATCTTCCTCTCTTCCAAACTACAAAAAGCTGAGGCAGCGTTCACTCTTTGCAGCGGCCATAATAATTTGTAGTCTGTGTTCTGCAGAGCTGGACAGCAAACTTAAATAAGAAGTAGTTGTATTTCAGGCACTCTCAAAACTTAGATGCAATGCAAGCCTTTCTTATACTTCTATGCTAGTTAATGGCAAAGCTGTGAGGAGAAAGAATAAAGATTCAACATTTATGAAGTGCTCCAGAAAATAGGAACCAACCCACAAGGTCAGTGTTGTTAGCTCCACTGCTAATAACTGGATGTTTAAGTAGATGTCAGACAGACCCCAGGTCAGAGTATTACAGTGTGAGAGCTGGCATTTAGACAAAGTTAGACTCCCTAAAACTTCTTGAATCAAGGTGCTTTAGCTACAAGGAACAGAGATTTGTTTCACCTCAAGAAAACAATTTGTTAGAAGACACTTATGAACAGAAATTAAATTGGAAGCCCTCAGAAACTAAGACCATAAATCTCTCCATCTCTCAGGAACACTCCAGTTTCCCACACAAGGCATCTTTGCTTCATTCCACAAGTCTACTTCACTTTCATCTCTTGTTCTACAGGCTTCCTTCATAATAACTATCTCAACTCAAGCCAAGACACACAATTATAGGCCCGTTAGCAGCAGTCGCTGGTTCACTTATTTGTGACCATTCAGGTAATGAGGAAGTGTGAGAAGCAGGTTCTTCTAGAATCAGGAGTGAGGAAGCTGTCCAGAACTGGCATCTCCAGAAGATCCATGTTCTGGCCATTTGAAAGCCTTGTTTTATGATCTCTTTATGTCCAGGTCTCTGTTCACAGGATGCATCCTTAAAGGTCTTCCCTCTCCACACCATCTAAATAGCCTCCAGACCCCTCCTTCATCCATCTCTATCTACTTGCCTTCATCAGCCTAATTTGACTTCCTAGATGTATCACTACTTGAATTTTACCATACATATATTTTTTACCATCTGTATGCCATATAAGATGAGTTCTAGACAGGCAAGACTTTCGTATTATTTTCTACCACATCCCTTTCTCTTAAAAAAGTGCCTGGCATATAGTCAGCACTCAATTATTTGTAAAATAAACCAATGAATGAATATTGTTATGTGAAAAATATAATCAAAAACAATAATTTTGTTTAGGTTCACTTTGATAAAGCATTGTCAACATAATTTTCCATTGTGGACATCATCAAAGGTAGGATTTTTAAACTTAAATTTTGTGTCTCCTGTACAGGCAATGTCATGATTGTTAGACGCTATTCCATTTCCTCACCAGTTCATTCCTTTGCTGCAAATGATCCCTGGAAAGCTGGGAAAAGACATCCAAATCATGGAATTCTAGAATCTCAGGGAACAGTAAAATCACTGGTATGTGCTTCAATTAAGAAGGCAGACAATGAAGAAAAGATGTTCGCAGCAGATTCTTTTGCCAGCAACACTTCCAACCAAAGAGCTTTTCCTGAGCCTGATTTGGGTGGCAGGTAATGTACCATCCGCCTCAAGCTAAGTACAGGTGCATACTGTGAGCGCTACTGACACCTTCTTCTGGATAAGCAAGGTCTCATCTAGTGGAGGAAACGAAACCAAATAGGCTAGTAGGCCAAAATCATTTCTATTTCACTTGTTCCCATGTCAGGAATCAAAATAAACTAATTTATTTGAGATCAAAAGACACTGTAATAGACGCCTCTTATAAGTGAAACGCACTTAGTCTTCACTCACCCAGCACTAATGATCTCACGGTGAGCGAGGCACCGGAGATACACGATTCAGGGTAAGCAAATGTTACATTGAAACTTTTATTTAACGGCAAAGACACACAAGTAAAATTGCCCTCTGAAGAGAGTGTGTCTCAGGGAGAAGACACAATTACTTTAGGAGCTGAGCACAGAATTTCTCTATGAGAGAGAATTGTTCTTGTGGAGAAAAGTGCCTCCATGGACTTTTTAGGGTACACAAAAGGCACGATCTGAGAGGACCAAGAGACAAAAAGAAAAGTAACCTGTTCTGCAAAATACTTGAGTTGGTGTTCAGGGAGTTAGGAAGAGCCTGAGTATGAGATTTGAGAAAACATTTGTGAGACAGGCTGGGAATCTTCCAGAGGAAAGTTGGCCAGGGGCCCCAGCAGAGGGCAGAGCCCAAGCTCTTCCAGAGCAGGATTGTCAAGATCCAGCATAATTTCTCCGCTCATGATGCTGGAGCATGACCTCCCCTACCCGACACTCTGCATTCCTGCTTTCCCATTCCCAGGTAGGCCCTGATGCTTTAGGAAAAGTCTCTTCGCCTTTGTCTCCTATGAGGAGGACGAAAATCACAAAGAGGCCTGGGTTTCATGATCAGCTTATCACAGGGAAAAGAAAATGAAACAAATATGGCTAGAGAGAGAAAAAGTGAGTCATCCAATCAAGGGACAACCATAAGTAATAGGCTTGCAGGAATTCTCATAAATAATGGAAAGAGCACTGGACTTCCCACAGGATGCAGGATATAAAGGTTGAACCAGTTTTACTTGACTTTTACAAGACAGGATGAAAAACTGTGTTTCACTTATAGAACGTTGTATTATAGGACAGAGAGAGTAAATAGACTGAATCATGAAGGACAACTGGATTTCGGCAGGCAAATTAAAAGGGAAAGGTTATCCCAGGTAAAGCAAAGAAGACAAGAGAGAAGAAACCGTGTCTGTGAGGAATCCAAAAGCAGTGAAGTGAATAAGGACAGAGAAAATGAGCAGATCCATTACAAAAGGCCTTCTTTGAAAGCCGTGTGCTTTACCCTATAATTACTGGGAAGTTAGTAAAAAAAACTTCTTCATGAAAAGTCTTAAAAGCAAGCCTATTCAGAAACTAACATAACAAATACCAGTGTAGTCACCTGCAAGAATTTTGCCATATTTTGTTCAGGTATTTTTATACACAAAAGGAAAAAGTGTTACTAATAAAGAGAAAGCTCCTCTCTCTTTCCTGGTCCTGCCTGGGGGCAAGTGTTATCGTGGAGTTTGTTTCTATCCTTTCAGTCTACACTTTATATTTTCATTACATTCGTTCATTCATTCAACAAATGAATCCTGGTGGGGGTCCCTCTCTGCTGGGCAGGATTCTATGCCCTGAGAGACACAGAGAAACAAACTTGTCACAAATGCTGCCCATGGGAAGCATTGGCCTTCATAACATGATCATCACGAATCATGAAAATGCATAAAGAGTATATTATATTAGATTATATTATATATTGTATTAATTATATTATATTATATTATATTACATTACATTATATTATATTGTTAGTTTAATAAATACTAAAAAGAAAAGTAAACCAATTGGAAGGAAAGACAAAGAATTAGAGGAGAAGCATCATTGAAAATTTCTATCTCATGGCCAGAAAACGCCTTGCCACTTGAGTAAAGAAGGCAGATAGTTGGTGGGGAAGCTCTCCCCGCATTGAGAACAGCACATGCAAGAGATCCCGGCGGGCACATGGCTGGCGTTTGAGGCAAGGCAGCTGGTGTGAACACAACGGGGTGAGCAAGTGAGAGAGCCAAGGCTGCAGGCAAAGCGCTAAGGGGCGGCCTTCCACTTGCTTCCAGCCACTCTGCATTTATTCCAAAGGGAATTGGGGCCATAACAAACTCTTTTCATTTAAAAAGAAAGATTATGTTGGGAGCCCTGTTTTGAAAAGACTGTAGGAAACAATAAAGACAACATGGAGACCAGGTTTAAGACTATAATAATCATGTAGGCAAGAGATGATCATTTCTTGGATGGGGGTAATAACAGTGGATGTGGTTTCTGGATAGGTTTTGAAGGTGAAGTCGGTAAGATTTTCTGACAGCACAGATGTGGGATATGGAAACAAGAAGTGTACCCCGACCATTGTGTTTCAATGGGTATATTGATGCAAGAAAGGCATAGAAGTGTCCTTTTCTTTAAAAAAAATTATACATATATATATATATATAAGAGCCAATGAATATCCACTGGAAAAAAAGTTACAAATCACAAAAATAAATGTAATATATAAAGTAAAAAGTTTAAGAAGGAAAATATTCCATAATTCCACCAACTGAATAACTATTTAGATTTTGATGGAGATCTTTCCAGACTTGTATCTACATATTTTGACATTGGACAGTACATATATTTTAATGTTTTATTTTTTGCACTTAAACCATTGTATTCTCATAGACCAACAATATTAACTAAGAAACATAGTATTACTAATTTTCCTATTTTGATTTATATTATTTTCTGTGATAGTTTGGGAACCTAGCCGATGTTTATAATTAATGTATTACTTCTCTGAAACAAAAATCTCTTTCCATTTCCATGCTGCCAAAGAATAAACTATTTAGAACACTATAGATGTAAACTACTTAGAACAAATCCATTTCTAACTTAAAATCTACAATAATGTGAAATATTGAGCCATTTGCAGGATTGTTGTACCACAAGTCCACACCAGCTTCAATTCAATAGCTAGGTTGGCATAAAATCCTATAGATACAGAAAACTGTTGGGAGATGGAATTAAGCATGTATTTTTTTTGTTGAAATCCTTTTTTATTTTGTCTTTTACTTCCTCAGAAATTAACTAGTAAAGTAACATATCATCACACTATTCCTCTGATGTTGAGTAAATTCATTTACTTTCTAACAGCTTTCAAAGAACTTTACAAAGATCTTTTAAGAACCAGTTGTTTGAATTGCTTTTGAATTGATCAGACACCATACCTAATTTGCTTGTGAACTTTTCCATCATTTTACTAAGAAAATATTTTACAGAATAATGCCAATGGAAATATTTCTAAGAAACATTCTCTCCAGAAACTAGAGATAGAATTTTAATTTTTCCTTAATTTTTACATAGAAATCCAATTTTTTTCCTGTTGCCTTTGAGAAAAAAAAATCATCTCAGGCAGTTGACAAGGTCAGGGAAAAGTGTCCATGTAGAAATGCTGTTTTATTCATTTTACTGATAGGAAAACCCAGAGACATTAAAATAAGTAAATTCTTTACTTTTTCTACAGCAAAGTAGTTAAGAAGGCAGCCTCTGGAACCAGATGGCTAAAATCCCAACTCCATCATGTACCAACAACACGGCCTTGGAAAAGTCACTAGTCTGTCCTGGGCATAGTTTACTCTTTTGTAAAAAGGGACTCATAACAGCAGTTACTTCACCATCTTGGGAGGAATAATTGAGACCATGAAGTGAGTGCTACCAAGTGGCAGAGTAATCACTGTTTTATTGTTCTCAATACATGGAACCCCTGGCCTTCCAAGGGAGGAAGCAGATGTATTCCCCTAGATGCACCACTAAATGCCATCAGTGACATTAGAGCCTTATCTAATAACAAAACAGAGAAAGAATAGAGTTAGAGAAAAGGCAATAATCTGAAACACTATTCTTTAGACTTATTCGTGGGAGCAGTTTATCCTTGTTTATGTCAGAATTCTATATAACAGGGGAAAGAAGTGCACACAATGAAAAGGTTTCAGCCCTCAGACAACATGCATCATTGCTGTCGCTCCTCTCCCCTTTATTGTTTAGGAGTGATTGATATTCAGTTAATTCAAAGTCCATAACTGCAGATTGATCTAGGTTATAAATTAATTGCCTCGAATTTCTACTTCATTGCAACTGAAAAGCTTTGGTGTGAAAGATCCTTTGCCTGAGCCAGCATGACATCCTTCCACTCTAAACATCAAACTAATAATCCTCAGACACACAGATCCTCCCTTAATAGTCTTAAATTGCCATTTTATCAGCACTATTCATCAGGTTTAATTAAAGGCCAATTTCAATATATTTTCTTGTATTATTGGTGAACCACTTAATAAAGAAAGCATTGTTATATTTAATGTGAAATATTTATATGATATATTTTACCACTTCAGGCAGTATTTGGTGACTTAGGAAAGTAATAAATGTTTTGTATAGAAGCTCCCTAAAGTATCGTGTTTATCTTCTGCTTTCTTTAGGGACAAGATAAAGGCAGTCAGTTTCCTGTTACCCATGGATATGTCTTCATATTCCAAAAATTCAAGTTCTTTGAAATACTCACCAAATAAGACTACAAACCAGCTAAATACCATTGCAGAATAGGATGTGTGAGGTGGAAAAATTTAAGAAAGAGCTGATTTTGAAGAGATGGGAACACTGAGACCTCCCTGGGTCAGTGTCCTCCCCTGCAAAGAGCCCTGGCAAGATGCCAGGAAGATGCACAAAATACCCAGCATTGGGTCAGTGGACTTGGTCAATAAATGGAAGCAATTACTTTGTGTTCTTGTTGAATATGAGTGTTGATGTGAGTACAGTGGCTATTATAGTCTCTCTGTGCTGCATGTGAGCTATTAGCTGTAATTAAATTAAACTCTAGGCTAAGGGTTCAGTATCAGCGTTTTGCCATCAGGAAATGCTACTGTTTACATTATAAGTGTCACTTTCCAGATGAAATGATAACAAAGCTAGAGAAAATGGCTATTTTTTTTTTATTAATGGCATAGAAGCAACAGTGATTATCCTTATAGTTAATTGTGGAGCTATTTCACTGATACTAGCTCATTTGTTCTTTTAATATCCTGTGTCTGGTATGTAGAACAAACACAGCAGACTCCCATAGCATACACAGTGGGCTCAGAGTAATTATGGGATGGCAAAGACACTAAACCTGGTTGGTAGGAGAGAAAAAAATAAGGTGCAGATGATCATTCCTTAGGAGTTGGAAATCTCAGAACTCCCTCAATTCCTGAACTTCTAGACAAGAGAACATCTCCCCTCCCTGGTTTACAGCAATCATGTTCTATATACCAACACCCTTTTTAAACAAATGTCATGTTAAAATCTCCAGAGTGCTAAGATGGAGATCCTTTCGTTCCACCACAGACCAACTGACCTGGCTGGAGAGGTTGGAGGTGGGCAGGGAGAAGACCAGAAATTCACACTTTAAACAGGCCTTCCCAGGTGACTTCTACCATGCAGCCGTGCTTGCAACCCACTATTGCAAATACTAAGAAACATAGTCCAGGGCTCCCCAAATCTGGCACCAAGTTAGAGTGAAAATAGTGAGGCAAGGAAAAGGGAGGAGTAGTCCCCCCATTTTTAAGAAAGTGGATCTGACAGACTTGTAGAAGGGAGATGAAGAAATCAATGAATATCTTGAGGTAGAAGCCACATCATGGGTCAAATGCTTCTTTTATTTATGATACTCACTTAAGATTAACAATATTCTCAACATTGTAACAAATATACAATAAGGCAAGGTTACAGCTGGAGGGGAAAGATGGAAATGAGATGTCAAAATGCACTGGTCTGGGAATAAAGACACACACCAAGTAGACAACTAAGATATTAACCTATGAGATGACTGACCTGTTTCATTTATGCACAATTATATTCTCAAAATCGAGAATTTTGTGTCAACATTGATTTAAAGAAACATTTCCCAAACATTTTTTTAAAAAGGCAGTAAATGACAACCACCCAAATTACAATGTCATAACTGACAAAGTTATAACAGCAAATCACCCCCAAGGCCAAGCTCAGCGCCCAGTGTGCAATAGGCTTTTCATACATGTCCATGAATTGCACTGAATTAACAATAACAGGAGTCTAATCCTGCCCAGGAAAAACTAGGCCCCATCAAATTTTAAACTTTGAAGTCAAATCATTTACTATTATGATGAAAAACACAAAGCCCCACCTCTATTCCCTGTTGTGTTTGATAGTAAACCCTCTGAGCATATTTTTAAATAAAATGAACTACAAAGAACATGAAATGTACCTCAGTCATGCTCTGCTGGTTATATTTGTCTTCTTCTATGCCCCAAACATTTGTACGTCGGGAACTCAGAAGCCTGCCAGGGACAGGGAAGTTAACACAAATGAAGTGGGGACTTGGCAGAACAGACACGCCATGCCCCATCCAAAGGGTGCCACAGCCACTCACCTTCGTGATGGTATGGGGGAAAGCAGACACTGTACTGTCACTCGGTCTATCTTTCAAGAGATGTTAAGATCTGGATCTTTGTGCAAAATCTCCTAATTCATAAATACTGGCAATAGGTTCAATTTCTAAAACATTGTGAACACCAAACATGTAGGTTTAAGATACCAGATTTCAACCTTTGACTGAAGTGCAGTTGCTTAATAGAGAGCCCGAACAAGAAGATGGGTCTGGAAAGCTACCATTTGGAGACTGGAAAGAGGAGAAGGAAATTTGAAGTTAGGAAAAGAGAATAAGGTGGCACAAAATGTGAAGTCTACGTAGATTAAAAGGTTGAAGTTTGTACCCTCACAAAAATGTAGTTTAATCCAAAGCCAATACGTATTTGCTTACAAAACCAAAGCATAATGTGAGAAAGCATGAGCTCAGTTTTGTTTTAAAACTTCTTTCATTATCTATTTTTACCTATTTTACATTTTTACTTGTATAAAAGTCTTGGGGGGTGGGAAATAAGACATACACAAAAGCAAATAACCTGCCTGACATTTTTCCCTTCAGAAGATTCTGAAGTCTGAAGATCATAGAATTTTCCAGCACAATTCTGGTTCCAGGCCATAATTTCAAAAACCAAGTGTATCTCAGGGAAGTCACACCACCAGTGTGAAGCTGACAGGGTTTGTAACAAAGCCAGAGCCAGAACCCATATCTAGAAGTTTCACGATGCCCCCTAAATTTGCGACACTAAACCAGCCATTAAATTTAAAAATGTTTGTAAATTGAGGCATTCTCAACAAGTGAAGATGATCTTGATGTTCTCAATGTCTAGGGTATCTAGGGATCAAATGAGACCATGTATGTGAATATGTTACATAAGACACCAAACAAATACAAGACACTTGTTTTTTTCCATTCAAAACAAAGACTCCCAACATTTGTCTAATTGTTAATCAAGGTGTTAAATTGATAAAAATATTTATGTAAAATTTCTAGCTTCTGTATTTTCTAGCTTTTGATATTCTCTTGGGTAAGTTGGTTTGATGTTTTACCACTGGGAATTGCTCAAGGATATTAATAGAATTGAGGGTCTATGTTCAATATACAGTGGATTCTCACTGCTCCTGGTCCCTATGTTCTATAAAGTCATCACAAACACTGAATGAGTGAATACTGAACAATTGCTCCTGAGAGAAATACACAGTTGGGTTCCTGTGAGCCTTTGATCACAAAATTTTCATCAGTGAATCCATACATAAGCTTGTGTTATGTGTGTCTCTGTTTAAAGACACCTTACTTAACATACTTTGCTATTCCCTAACAAGCTCACAGCCAATAGCACTGTAAGTCACGCCCGAAGGTAATACCTAACACATGCTTTCTCCACATCACAGCTTTCCTGCACTGAGGGACACTAGGTAGCATTTCAGCACTACTTGCTTAGGGGTCATTTTAAATATCAAAATCGCCAGCAAAAATGAAAAAATCCTGGCACCAACAAACCACAGAATTGACCTGATAGTTGGAACAAGAAGGCAGAGCAACAATGAGTTCAGGGTCAGCAGGAAATGTGTGCCTAGGGGAACCCAAATATTCTGTCGTTTTGTGCATGTCTGCAAATGACTATGAAGGCTCCGTGAGTATCGATTTGGGAGTTATGGGTAATTTTAGCAAGATGGTGAATTCACAAACACAGAGGCTGTGAATAATGAGGATCGGTTGTACCTGTCATCTCATCACCAAGTGAAACATAAGATGAGAAGGATGAGAAAGTCTAGGGGACTAGAGGATTGGCGAACTTTGAGATTTTTGAATAGATGCATTTTGATCATCAGGTACATGTCTCCTCGGTGTCTCCAGAAGTTGGTGTTAGGGTTGCTGTTAGGACGCCTGCACCGCCTGACTCGGGGCCAGCACCCTATTGCACACGTTGTGCTGTGCGGCAACATAGCTGCATCTCACCCCAAGCATCTGTCTTTTTTCTCCTCTTCCTTTGGTCTTTTTTTGCATCTGCCATCCAATTAGCACATTATTAGTGCTACATTAGGTTTCATCAAGAAATGGCAGGTGCAGGTCTAAAGCACAGAATCCCAGCCCTGGGCTCATGTAGCTCTTTGCCCTCCTCCAAGTTAACTAGGAATGAGCCCTGTGCAATATGGTGCCACATAACACACCCTTTTCTTCAGTAACTATGACAAAAGGCAGCCCACTATGGAATGTTTTCAATGTCCCTCCCGAGAGAATCTAATAGGCAGCTAGTTAAAATCTGTGCAAAATTATCTGCAATGGTACAACCATTTGGGAGAACTGTTGACAGGTTTTATTAGAGTTAAATATACACCTATCTAAGACCAAGCAATTCTACTCCTAGTATATCTATGGCAAAAGTAATTGCATATGTCCATTAAAAGCCTGGTATGAGAGTGTTCAGAGAGCATTATTAATAGGCAAAAACTAAACACAAAGAAAAAAGAGTGAAAAGAATACATTGTGATATACCCATACAATGGAAGGCTACATAGCAACAAAATGAATGGTAATACTAGGTGAACATTAAAAATATTATGTTAAAAGAAAGAAGCCAGACACAAAAGAACATATGGTGATTCCATTTATAAGAAGGTTGGAACAGGTAAAACTAATCTATGAAGTTAGAAATCAAAATAGCAGCTACGTCTGATTGGTTATTTTGTCTGGGAAAGGACAGGAGGAAACTTTCTAGAATGGTGGAAATGTTTTATATCTTGTTCTGGGTAGTGGTCACACAGATTTATGCATACGTAAAAATTCACTTAGCTGTTGTATTAGTTTCTCATTGCTGCAATAACATATTATCACAAACTTGGTGGCTTAAAGCAACACAAATTTACTCTTACAGTTCTATAGTCTGTAAGTCAGAAACAGTCTCACTGGGCTAAAATCAAAGTACGAGCAGGGTTGTGTTCCTTTTTGAATACTTCCAGGGGGAATATGTTTTCTTGCCAACTCCTGTTTCTAGATGCCACCCATGTTCCTTGGCTCATGGTTCCCTCCCTTGAAAGCCAACTATGGAGGTCAAGTCCTTCTCACATTGTATCACTCTGACCTCCTTCTTCCACTGTAAAGAACTCTTGAGATTTCACTGTGCCCACATAGATAATCCAGAGTAATCTCCCCATCCCAAGGACCTTCATGGAAGTACCTCTGCCAAGTCTCTTTTGCCATGTAAGGTAACAAATGACTTTGTTCAGGGATGAGGACATCTTTGGCAGTCCGTTATTATTCTGTCTACCACAGTGGTTAAGATGTGTGCATTTACTTGGGCATAAAAAAGAAAGTTTTCCAAGAATAGAAAAAAATTGGGCAGAAACCTTGATTAAAAACGCTAAGAATGGGTTGGATATGAGCCCCTTTCACTCCAAGAACATTCCGCTGTCATTTCTTTGGTCTCACTGAATCCATAGTGAACTTGTTTGGGGCTGAAACTCATTGGCAATACAGCAGATACACCTGTCTGTGTATCCTGTATGTCCTGTCTGTCTCCAAGAGTCTGAAGGTCTGGCAGCCTGTTCCTGCAGACCTGAGTGGTGACCCGGCTGGATAGGCCCCGCCTCTGCTGGGACTGAGCTCTCTAGGCTGTTCCGGCCCCCACCCCTCCATGCTGCACCCTCACAAGGGGACTGAATCAGTCTTGATTTATCCCTTCACATCCAGCCCTCATTACCTATGTAGTTACATACCTGAAACCAGTTGGCACAAAATTTGCAACCCCCAGTTTAGCATCTCTCTTCTACTTCCCTTGGTCCAGTTCAGACTCCAAACATTCTGGTTCTGTTCATCCCAAAGCTATTTTGTTCCCATTTCTTTTTTTCTTTTTTTGTTCCCATTTCTTAAGGGTAGTTGGGCCTAATGTGTGTTCACCTTAAGATTTCTACATAAAAATAGTTATCAAAAAAAAACAAAAACACTAAGAATGTCAGGTTTATAAAGCAGTTTGTCAAGATTTAGGACAGAAGACAAACTACTAAACATTATTTCATAGCTCACTGGTTAGTCTAACATAAATAACCAGTCCAAGTTAGGTAAATTAAGTAAATCAAATGCCTGAGCTTATGTTTTGATTTAGCTGAAGGACATACGTAAAATCTACTTAAAGTATAATACAGTGTGTAAATAGGTCATGCAGCCTAAAAACAAATTTATCTGTGTTTATCTTTTACCTTGTATCCTAACTAACCCAAGAGACTATTAACTGTTAGTTGACGATATGGACCATTTAATTTGCAGTTAACTTTGACTTTTAACCAGATAAACAAGCCAAGGGATAAATTATTATCCCAGTCTTGAGGGTTTTTATTTTGAGCCTCTTACTTGAATCTGCAACAGATTGAAGAGTTTGTGAAACTGAAATGTTTTTGAAATGCACAAATGTTAGATGGTAGCAAAATCATGAAAAAGATAAAAAAGGTAGTATGGGCCTTATTTTTTAAGGTATTTTAGCTATTGCTGTATTCACATTAAAATATATTCACAACAGATACTCACTATTTAAATTAACAGTATTTGCCTAATAAGAAAATAAATACTTCAACATATGGTCTCATTTATGTTTGCACTATTTTGCCAACATGTATTGTAACATTTGCTTAAGAAAAAGAATCCGTTGCAGTAAGCTTAAAAAAAAAATGTAAAATGAAAAGCCACACCTCT